TATTCTACATTACCGATAGAAATACGCAAAAATATTCCCACAAATTTTAAAAAACTATTGGATAATTTTGATTTGTTTTCACACATAACCTCCCTTAAAACTTAATTAAAGAATAGTTGAACTATTTATAAATATCAGTTCATCTGTACCTAATTTATATATTATTGACCACACATTCTGTATATTTTTTTTGATCGCGCGTCAAACATGACGTAATAAATTGAATTGAATTGAATAAACACAAACAAAAAAAACATTATATTTGCTAAAGAATCGTAATTTATTATTAACAGGAATCATTGAATAATTATTAATTATTTAATTTTTTAAATATTAATCTTAATAATAATTTTTGATGTCAGTCTCTTGCGCTTGATATCTGTCACAGGTATGATCTATTTTATAAAGTATTAAAATTAATTTTATGCTAAATTTTTTAAATTTAAATTATTTTATTTGATAAATTAAATTTCATTTTTTAAAATATATATTATGCAATTAAAATATAAATTTATTAGTGATCTACCTATTTTTATTTCAAATATCTTTATCCCGGATACAATTTTATCTTGTTTAATTTTTTTGGAATAAATAATTTATGAAGTTGTTCATTTGAGACTTTGGAACATTAACAATCATTTTTTTATCGTTTTTATCAATCATTTATTCATTAAATTTCGTTTAATAAATTTAAATATACATATTAATAATATTTATATTTATAAATTTTTAATTTAAATAGTATACGAAGACAAAACTATTGAAGACAAAAGAATTTTTTTACTTTTTAATTTTACTATTTAAGAGGTGTCGTGTCGACGCAGAAGACCCACAGACAGAAGACCCAAGGACAGAAGAACCACAGACAAAAGGCCCACAGACAGAAGACCCACAAGGACAGAATACCCACAGACAAAAGACCCACAACTATTTTTTGTTTCCCTTTTATTGTGCAAAAATTTTGGCGCGAGGGATGTTGTTAGCTCTATTTGTTTTCACAATAATGGGTTGAATGTTGTTTCAATAACAGGAATGTTGTTTCAATAATAGGAAAGGTTGTTCCAACAGTTTGGGACGTTGTTCCAATGACAGGGAAGTTTGTTCCAACCACATTCACAACCGTGAATGTTGCAAAAACTAGTGAGGTTGTTCCTACGATGGGAATATTGTCCCAATACCGGAGAGCTTGTTTAACGAAGAGGGATCTTTATTTCCCGGATTATCGGGATTTTTATCCGGAAAATTGTAAAAAATCTGGATCCGATCAGGTTCAAATATAAAAAATAGTATAAAAATAGCTAAGTGCCTTCTAAAATTCTTAGAATTCGCACCTGTGTCGCTAAAAAGGTAGAAAACTGGCTTCTTGGCCTTTCAAAATTTCCAGAATTCTTGTCTGTGACGATGAAAGGGAAAAGTAGATCAAATGATATTTAGAATCAAGGGGTATTTAGGATTAACTGGATTATATCGAGTCAGTTAAGTCCACATGGAGGGATATAGAAGGATTAGAAGCGATCATGGGTATTGGAGATATGCAAGGATATCGGGGATCTTTGGGGTAGTAGAGATTACTTGTATTTCTGAGTAACATGGAGGGATATGGTGGATAAAAGCGGATTAGCGGTAAAAGCTTAAAAGGTTTACATCACTTAAAATTCCCTGACATATCCGATTTACTGTTCTCCTGGTTCCTTTATACACAATTCACGGATGAGAATAGATATCACTTTCTAATTAATTGATCTAAATCGCACTCATCCATAAAATCTTTTGATTAACATTATAATAATTTTTTTTAATATTTAAAAAATTTTTTAATCTTGTGCCTGGAAAGATAGACAAGTCTTTTTCAAGAATTTCAGAAAATTTATTCATAAGTTTTGGTTAAAAAATTTTTCTTGTGGGTCTTTTGTCTGTGGGTATTCTGTCCTTGTGGGTCTTCTGTCTGTGGGTCTTTTGTCTGTGGTTCTTCTGTCCTTGGGTCTTCTGTCTGTGGGTCTTCTGTCACTACGCCAAGAGGTGTGAATGGATAACGATAAAAATTTTTATTTATTTATTTATATAAATGACCTAATCAACGTGGGCGGAAAATATTTTCAATCTTGAGTTTTAAAAGTATTTTGCTATTTAATTAATAAGGCTGGTAAAAAAGATAAGAGAGGGTGAGGAAACAATTGAAAACATATTTTAAAAGCTGCTCTGATTTGCCTTTTCATAAACAATTTTAATTGTTTTGTTTTACTTTGTAGAGGACAAAGTTAATAAGTACTTTTAATTTTTTAACATTCCAATATTCTCAAAATTTTTTTGAATTAATATATTTAATATTTTCATTAAAATTAAATTTTAAATTTTTACTCTTTATTTTAAATATTTTATTAATAATAAATTAACATATCCATTTCCTTATTGATTTTTTGTCAATCACTAAATTATAAATTATATTTCCGTTCAAATACATAATTCTTTTTTATGACATATTTATTATCAATAATTAATTTCTCAAATCTTTTTAATTTCAAATAATTATAAAATATTTATTTTTAAATTTTTAAATTCTAGCTGTCTTATTCATGAGCTGCTGGGTAATCATAAATTAAATACATATCAGCAAAATTAATAAAAAAATTAATAACAAATTAATCTTTAATTATATTTAATCTTATTTAAATAAATCTATTAATGTTTAAAAATTCATTATTTCATTAAATTTCATTTTTACAATATTGGTCTTTGGAAACGTATTTATCTTGTTGATAGGATTGCTGGATTTTTTTCTAAATTTTTTGTATCGATAATTTAACTTATATATGCCGGAATGAATTAGCTTTATTGAGACTATGTCAGGCAGGCCGTTTCCATTTTTAAATATATCTTTAGTCTGTGCGGACATAGTTGTGGGTTATTAATCTATTAATAAACAAAATATGATTGTTTATATACTTTTTGATTTTTAATAAATCTTCTATTAATCTAAGTTATTTTTAATATTTTAGTTAATTTTTCTTCAAGGCCATGACATTTTTACTTTATTAACGTTACTTTTTTTTGACTATTAATTTTATTTAATATCAATATATCGTGTTTTTCCAAGCTATCTCTTCTCTAATATCTCTAACAATTTAATAATCTTCCTTGATTTATATTAAAGTTAATATGTTATTATATATTTTATACTTTTATTATGTATCAACGTTTACAATTTTGTAAGAGGAGAATTTTCATTTTTATACTACTTAGAATTTAATGAATAAACTTCATTAATTTTAGATTATTTAGAAAAACATGTTGTTCATGTGTTAAAGATGGTCGGATGAATACGTTCTTGAATTTAGTTTAAAATAAAATAATTTTTGTGGTTTTGAATTTCTATTTTAGTTTTAAATTTTAGGATTAAACAAAAATAGATTATAAACTTATAAAGATTTTTTGTACACAAAAAATCTGAATAAAAATAATATTATGCAAAGTTTTATAGATTATATCGGCTTTATTTGTTTTGTTTAATTAGATTTTTATTCTTCCATGATTAAATTATATATAATAAAAATTATGTTTTATATTCATAATTTTCTTAATTTAAACCAATCTACATTATAATTGCTAAATAATATAATTTATTATAAACATAAATTATTGAATAAATTTGCTGTATTTAATATTTTTCAATATTAATTTTAATAAAAATTTTTGATGTCGGCTTCTTGTGCCTGGTATCTATCAACTGTTAACATCTATTTTATAAATGATTACATAAAATTAATTTTAATCTAAATTTTATTAAATTAAAATTATTTTTAATTTAATAAATTTAATTTCAAATTAAATTAAAAATTCAAATAAATAAATAAATTAAAAATTCAGATTAAATTTCAATTTTTTATGCAAATAAATTTATTAGTGATCTACCTATTTTTATTTTAAACATCCTTATCCTGGATACAATTTTATTGCGTTTAATTTTTTATTTTGTTAAAAATAAAAAATTTATAAAGTTGTTTCTTTGAGAAGTTGTTAGATAGATTATAACATTGTTATTTGACTTAAATAAAATTAAATTTAAAGTAAAAATTTATAAGAAAGTCGTGTTAAATACTGAAATTTAAAATTTTAGTTTAATTTGAAGTTAATTAATTTTAGATTGTTCAGAAAACATGTTGTTCATGTGTAATTGGTCGGATTTATAAACTTTTTGATGTTTTTAATTGAATCCTATCTTAATCTGTTATTTTTAATTTTTTGTGGGTAATTTTCTTCAAGGCATGACATTTTTTATTTTTACTTTATTAAAGTTACTTTTTTTGACTATTAATTTAATGACTTTATTTAATATATATTCGTGTTTTTCCAAGCTATCTTTTCTCTAATATCTCTAGCAATTTAATAAGCTTCTTCGAATTATATTAAATTAATATGTTATATTATATATTTTATTAAGTATCAACGTGTACAATTTTATAATAAAGGAGATTTTCATTTTTATTCAACTTGAAATTTAATGAATAAATTTAATGAACTTCATTGAACTTGAAATTTAATGAACTTCATTAATTTTAGATTATAAGCAAAAACAAGTTGTTCATTTGTCAATGATGGTCGGATGAGTAAGTTCTTAAATTGGCATAACAAAATAATAACCTTCTTTTTTTATAGAATGTAATTGAAATCAAAGAATTTAATTTTTTATACCTCAACATTATAATCATTATTTAATTTTGATTTGTTTTTTATAAAGTAACCTCCATTTTTGGAAGAATGAAAATTATTGGTAGGATGAAAAAATTTAGGATGGAAATAATATTCTATATAAATTTTTATTTTAATTTTAAATTTTAGGATTATACAAAAATAAAATTTATTATAACTTATATTATGTCTGGTGATCAGACATATTTCTATTTAAGCTTTAAAATGACCCTAAACTCTCAATAGATATTGAGGCATTTATTTAATACATATTTATTTCTTCAGCATTTAATTAGGGTCAAGTGAGCGCTCCGAAGAGCACTGAAAATGAGGGGAATGAAACAAGTATATATAGGGACTAGGAAGGGCGGAAAGATTACGAAACATAAAGAAAATGTACAAAGGAAAAGGTTTGTGGATCAAAGGTGAAGGGCAAAGTTAAATAAGATGTATGGGAAAATATGATTGAGGGAAACATTTGAATATATTAATAAATGGGGCAAAATAGATTAAAAAGTAAAATGATGAAAATATTATAAAATATTTGAATCACGGACATAACACTCCTTCCTCATTCAAGAAATTCATCCCCAATAGTGAAGTCATTCGGCAGAAGAGAGTTGTCCAGATTTTTAAGGTGCCCTCCGCTTAGAAGCGGGAATTTAAATTCTTTCTTTGATTTACGTTAAATTCTCTCACTTTAGTCTAGTGGCTCACAAATTTAATTTCGGGATTCAATTCTCTATTATTTAAAAATTTTATTTTTCTCAACTAATTTTCAATTTAACTTCAAATTATGCTACTCGCCACAGAGCGGATTAATCTTCTTCGCTCACATAACACAGAGCGGAATAATTACAAATCTTTTTTTCGATTCATCTTCTACAAAATTACATTTATTTTCAATTTCAAAAATTTTTTTCGAATTTCCACATTTTTTGAAGTCTCCGTTTGTTAAATCTAAACGGGTCGTATTCCTTCAATGTCGTCAGAGATATCACTGCCTTGAAATTCCACGAAGGCAGCTCTAAGCTTTCATCCTTGTGGACGGCATATAGCTCTCTGGAGGTAAATACTGCGCAACATAGGCTTATACATTTACGATGCTATGGCCGTCTTACGTTTCAACAGCTGCGCATTTCCCGCGTCTTACGCTTTATCGCCTATCATCCAGGCTTTTCTACTCGCCCATCACACCTCGGGCTTAAATCACAAAACTACAATGTCTCTCCTCGTCCCTCAACAGGACGGCTCTTTAGACAATAAATCTGAAGGAATACTAAAAATCCTTTTGAGTTAATATTTTTTCTCGGGGTTAACCCGGCATTTAAATTTACTCTTTTTTCTCTTTCCCCTTTTATTAAACTCGGACCATGTCCGGATTTCCCTTTTTAAAATTATTTAAAGATAATTTCTGGCTCGGGTACGTGGCACCTTTTTTGTATTTGTACCCGGCTATTTTTTAAATTTATTTATCTCGGTTCGTGTCCGGTTTTATATTTTATTTTATCTCGGGCTCTACCCGGTTCGCTGTCCGACCGCGCCATTATTATGTCTGGTGATCAGACATATTTCTATTTAAGCTTTAAAATGACCCTAAACTCTCAATAGATATTGAGGCATTTATTTAATACATATTTATTTCTTCAGCATTTAATTAGGGTCAAGTGAGCGCTCCGAAGAGCACTGAAAATTAGGGGAATGAAACAAGTATATATAGGGACTAGGAAGGGCGGGAAGATTACGAAACATAAAGAAAATGTACAAAGGAAAAGGTTTGTGGAGCAAAGGTGAAGGGCAAAGTTAAATAAGATGGATGGGAAAATATTTGAAAGTTGGATTGAGGGAAACATTTGAATATATTAATAAATGGGGCAAAATAGATTAAAAAGTAAAATGATGAAAATATTATAAAATATTTGAATCACGGACATAACAACTTATAAAGATTTTTTGAACAAAAAATCTGATGGCCGAAATAATATTATGCAAAGTTTTATAGATTGTATCGGCCTTATTTGTGTGTTATAACTACATATTTATTCTTCATGTTTTAATTGTAATAATTAGCTTTTATATTCATAATTTTCTTAAACCACCAATTTACATTATATTTGCTAAAGCAAAGTAATTTATTAAAAACAGGCTTTATTGCATAATTATTAATAATTTAATATTTTTTAATATTAATCTTAATAAAATTTTGATATCAGCTCTTTCGTCTGAAATCTTTGCACCGTTAAGATCTATTTTCTAAATCGACATTATATTTGCTAAAGAATAATAATTTATTAAAAACATAAATTATTGAATAACTATTAATTATTTAATTTTTATTATTATTAATCTTAACAATTTTTGATGTCACCCTCTTGCGCTTGGTACCTTTCAACGGTTAACTATTTTATAAATTATTAAAATTAATTTTATAGTAAATTGCACAATATTTTAGTAATAATTTAGATTACTCCTCTAAATAGTAATAATTTTAGAGGATTAATAATTTATTCAATATTAAAATATATTTAAAAAATTGAAGTTTTTTTTTGTTTATTATTCATGCTTACACATTAGATAAAGTTTTTGAATTTTTTTCATACATACATAAAGTCCGTTAAGAAATTATAAGAACAAGCATTTTTTGGTGTTTCTCATACTCAAATTTGAATTACTTAATTTAATAAATTAAATTTCATTTTTTAAAATAATTTATTATGCAAATAAAATATTTAGTGATCTAGTATTTTTTATTTAAAATCTAAAATTATTTCAAATATCTTAGTTTGCATAAAATTTTAGTGCGTTCAATTTTTTTGCAATAAAAAATTATGAAGTGTTCCTTTGAGAAGTTGTTAGATAGATTATAAAATTATTATATGACTTAAATAAAATTAAATTTAAAATAAAATTTCATATAAAAGTCGTGTTAATTTTGAAATTAAAACTTTAGTTTAATTTCAAATTTTGTTAACAATAACAATCCTTTTTAAATCAACAATCATTTTTATTTTATTATTTGCCTTTAAGATGTTCCTTTAAGACGTAGTTGCATTTTTCAGCAAGGTGCTATTTCCAGCAAGGTGCTATATTAGGAACTCTAATCTAAACCAATACTCTGCAGTTTATTCATAAATTAATTATTTTTAATAAATTTTTACGCATTAAAATTGTTTTATTTATGAAAAGCTTTTCAATTAATAATGAATTTTAGCATTAATTATTTATAAAAATATTAAAATTATTCCAATTATTTACTTTTTACACTTATAAAATGCAATGAGCTCCGATCTGTCGTTTGTCACCTGTTAACAGTGCTGATTTTAAAAATTGAGTTGAATATAAAAAACTTTTAATTATGACAAAGCAATATTAATTATATAACCTAATTATCATATCCATTAGTAGAAACATTAAATATTTTTAAAAAATAAACTTTGTGATAAATTTAAAGTTTATATGGTTATTAATAATTATTTGTCTATTTAATCATTTTTAACTCTTTGATATCAATTGTTATAATTAATAATGATAAAAAATTTTTATTAAAAAATTTTATAGAACGTTTTTGTTTACGTTTATTTTTTTAAATTTGTTTTATAAATCGATGCTAAAAATAAAATAATTTAATAGTTAAATAGACGAATTAACTATTAAAACATAAAATTACTTTGTATAGTTTTACTATTTTTATAGTATTTAATGTAATACATAGAAGAGCTTTTTTCATATATCAATACCCAAAAATATACCTAGATAAAAATTGTTTTTTCCTAAAAAAACTAGGATTCAAATTTAATTTTATTTTGTTTATATTATAAATTCAATATATTATAATTTTGTTTATTTCTTTTAATTAAATTATTTTTTATAAGTAATTTATTCAAATTATTGTGTATATTTTTAAAATATATTTTTAAAATTTTATTTAAATTTTTATTTAAAATTTAATTTGATCTCCTTTAGTTTAATGATGTATCTGACTAGAAATAATTCTTTGAAAACATAGCGTGTAGAATATTCCTTTTCTAAAAATTTAAGTCACTGAAGATCTGCACAAATGTCTTCAAATAATTATTTTCATATTTTTAGATATTCTCAGATGAATATTTTATAACTGTTTAAAATGTGATAGATCAATGATTTTTCAATCTTGATATTTTATTTTAAAAATATGATATCAATTATTAAAATAAGTAATAATAAAAAATTTTATTAATATTTAAAGTATTGATTTTTTCAGATTAAACGACAGCTCCTAGCTGTCGTTTTTCACCTGTTAACAGTACTGAGTCTAAAAATAATTGAATATAAAAAACTTTTATTCATGACAAAGTAATATTAATTATGTACCTATGTAATTATCCTACCATTAGTAGAAACATTAAATATTGCTTTTTTATTTTATAATATTGCTTTTTTATTTTAAATATAATTTTAGAATTATAATTTATTTCTATATTTTTAAATTTATTTATTCATTTTTATTATTTTAAATAAATAATTTTTATACATAAATGAAGTTGCTATTTTTGTTGCAAACGCAATAGTTCTTTTTACTATCGGTTCTGAACATTTTCAATTCATATCTTTAATATTATATTGAAAAATAAATTGTATTCATTAATCGCTATATATTGTTATATGATTTTTAAAAACCTAAAACTTTCAAAAGCATTATGATAAATTGCTAATTTGTTATAATTTTTATCAGATATTTAATTTGAAATTATTAATCAACAAGGTTATTATTCAACAAAGTATCATTGAACCTTTATAGCTTGAAAACTTTTACAAAATTACTATAAATTATTTAATTACTTTAAAAGGGTAGAATAGTTATATTTCAAAACTACAGTTAATTCTATAAAGTAATATTTAGGATTTCTTTAAATTTAAAACTTCTTTAATATCAATTTAAAATACTTTAAATATATTTGACTTCGTTTTCACGTGCCTGGTATGAGTCTACTGTATTGCTAATTTTACGTAATTTTCATTACATTTTTAGTACATATATTTTTTGTTGAACTCATTTGATTTAGTCAATATATTTTTTAATTTTTAATATTATAATAAATTTATTATGTATTGTCATGTAATTTTTTATAAATATCTGTTGCACGGTTTTTTAATTTTTTAAATAAATTTTCAAAAATATATAATTACCGCATTACCAAATAGTTTTTAAATTCAGATTTTGGATTTTAAAAGTTTGTTAACTTGATGCTTGATAAGAATTTAAAGTGCCGTTTGGTTTTCTTCTTCTTCATTTTCTTTCTTCTTCGTAACTATATTTAACTCAAATATTATACAATTTTTTAATTACTTTTATTAATGCAGAGGAAATATATAAATTTGCTAATTTAATATAAAGAATGAAATACGTTAATTAATTGAATAAACTTAAATTTTAATTTAAAATTGTGAATAAATTGTTCCATACCCCTACAGATCAACGGTATATTAAATGTTTTGTTAGGATTCTATCTATTATGTTTTTAAAATTTTGTGTAACTACATAAATTATTAACAATGAACTTTGGATAAAAGCAGATGCCCCTGCTAGTACCCAAACCTGAAGTTTATAACTAGATATAATATATATTTTATAACTTTATAACTAGACTACGGTCAAAAAATTCACAAAATCAATAAAGTATTGGATTATTAATCTACTAAATTTTAAATTATATTTATGTTTAAATAATTATTTTTTATTAAATCTTTATATTAATAATTAATTTCTCAAAAATTTTTTTTAATTTCAAATAATTCTAAAATATTAAATTTAAACCTTTTTAATTTTAGCTTTTTTTATTGGCTGGTAGGGGTCAGGTAGGTACTCTTATATTACATACATATCAGCAAAATTTTCGATAGATAAATGTTAAATTTTATAAATATATATTTACAATATTTAAAATTTCATATCTGATTATTTTCAAATTTGCTTGATCGTTTTCATTGCTTTATTGTGTTCATTTATTAAAAAATTATATTCATTTGAGATTAATTATAACTTTGATTGACGAAAATTACTTCGGTCGCGCCTAAAATTTTGCTTAGAAGATTTTTAATTTTTTAATATTTTTAATAAATATCTTTACTAAATTAAAGTGCCTTCGATACTCTATATTTGTTGAACATTTTTAATAATTTCATTAATAATAATTTTTAACAATTTTTAGTTCCTTTTTTTCATAAAGTTAAAGCATTTATGCAACGGAATAATGGTTGATCACTTAGATTTTTTCAAGTAAAAATTGCTATATTAATAAATTAATCTTTAATTATATTTAATATAATTTAAATAAATCTATTAAATGTCTAAAAATTCATTATATTTATTAAATACTTTACAATATTGGTCTATGAAAATGAATTTGTTGTGTTGATATGAATGTTAGTTTGTACACATTTAAGCAGCTAACTAAATTTTTTGTCTTGCCAATTTTGTAGCTTATAGAAAAGTATAAATTTTTGTATTTTAATTATTTGGAATTTTTAAACATAATTTTGATATAAGTCTATTTTGTATTTATCTTGATTCTTTCACATATGATGGCAATAAACAAAGATATTCCCATTAAGATTGAGTTCGTTAAAAATAGGATGTTTCTTTTTACTGGACAAGAGTGATGTTAAAGGAAAATAATTCTAATGATAGAATGCTTCCCATCAAAAATATTTCGGAATGATTTGATTTTTTAAATTTAAATTTTTAAAATAGGATGTTATTTATATTCTTTTTTTAAATTGATTATGGTGGAAGATATGGGTTAAAGATGATTTTTCTAATGATGTGAATGAACAAGGTTAAAATATATATTTGGTTTATGATTTTTTATATGATTGTTTTTATAAACTTTTTGATGTTTGATAATTGAA